GATGCAAATCGATAACAGCTATCTTGGAAAGTAATGAAAACAAATTTGACGCGGGCAAAGGCTTTGTGAAGATATCAGCTAACTGGTGATTAGTGCAAACCGGTAACAATTTGATGAAACCATCATTAATTTTATCTCTAAAAAAATGGCAGTCTATTTCAATATGTTTGGTTCTCTCGTGAAAGGTAGGATTTGTGGCAATATGGACCGCTGCCTGGTTGTCACAGAAAATAAGTGCAGGAACTTCAGATTTCATGTGTAGATCAATAAGCAACTGATGAATCCATATCAGTTCACTACCAGTAGAAGCCAATGCTCGATACTTAGCTTCGGCAGAAGACCTGGAAACAGTGTTCTGTTTCTTGGCTTTCCAGGACACCATAGAATCCCCAAGAAAAACACAAAAGCCTGTGATGGAATTTCTTGAATCTAAGCAAGACCCCCAATCTGCATCAGCAAATGCTCGCAGCTGAAGCGAAGATCCAGCAGAAAACAAAAGACCTTGGCCAGGAGTACCCTTGATGTATTGTAGCAGATGATGAACTGCCGTTAAGTGAGGTTTTCTAAGCTGAGAAACAAATTGACTAAGCTTATGTACCGCAAACGTGATATCAGGCCTAGATATGGTGAGATATAGCAATCTTCCTACCAATCTTCTATACATGGAACCATCTTTCAACAACTCCCCCTCAAAGGAGTTCAAATGAACTTTGGGATCCATAGGGATGGCAGTAGGCTTGCAGGCAAGAAAATCGGTATCCTCCAGTAACTGAAGAGCATAATGTCTTTGAGATAAGACAATACCTTTATGGGAACGAGCAATCTCTAAGGCAAGAAAGTACTTGAGCCTCCCCAGATCTTTTAGCTTAAATTGTCGATGCAAGGCTGCTTTCAAATCATTAATAACTCCCAAGTCAGATCCAGCTACTACGATATCATCCACATAAACAAGAAGGGCAATAAAGTTGGTTCCAGCACCTCTAGTGAAGAAGGAATAGTCAAACTTAGACAGGTGAAAACCTTGAAGTAAAAGAGCTTGGGAAAATTTCGAGAACCACTGTCGTGATGCTTGTTTTAGTCCATAGATGGACTTATGTAGTTTACAAACCAATCGCTCCCCCTGTTTGGAAGGACTGGGAGGAACATAACCCAATGGCAAGTCCATATAGATCTCCTCAAACAAATCACCATGAAGAAACACGTTGTTGACATCCAACTGAACAATATGTCAATGATTAATGGCAGCAACTGCTAATAAAAGCTTCACAGTTACCAGCTTGGCCACTGGAGAATAAGTCTCTAAAAAGTCAAGTCCCTCTTGTTGGGTATAACCTTTTGCTACCAACCGTGCCTTGAAGCGATCAACAGTCCCATCAGATTTATATTTAACCTTGTAAACCCATTTGCAACCTATAGAATGCTTTCTCGCAGGTAAGTTGGTGATAGACCATGTTTTATTCTGCTCCATGGCTGATAACTCAGCTGACATGGCATCTTGCCAATGAGGGTGTTGCACGGCCTGGTGATAAAATTGAGGCTCAGTGTAGGCTGAAATGTTAAGAAGAAGATGGTTATGAGGAGAAGAAAATTTGTCATAAGTGATATAATCGCTTAAAGGGTAAAAGAGGGATTGATGTTTAGGAGAAGAATCATAATGAGATAGAAGGTTGCAATGAAAATCTCATAAGTATGATGGAGGTTTGTTATGTCGAAGGGATCTCCTGATAGGATTAACAATAGCAGAAGAAGGATTAAGATGTTGATCAGTAGGAGAAAGGGAATCAAGAATGCCAGATGGAGCACTGATCGTATGAGCAGAAGATGCAGGAGAATTAGAGCTGGAAACATGGATATGTGAATCTAAGGAAGAAGAATTTTCAGGATGAGGAATAGGAAGAACCAGTTGGGGAAAATCATCAATAAAATCAGCAGATCTGGTAATGGAATGGAAGGGAAAAATGTTTTCATGAAATATGACATCTCTGGAAATGAAGAAATTTTTGGATTTAATATCGTACAATCGATAGCCCTTAATACCAGGATGATACCCAACAAAGACACAGACCTTTGCACGAGGTTGAAATTTTAGGCGAGAGGAGGGAAGAGTGGATGCAAAACATAAACACCCAAATACTTTGAGAAAGCTGTAATCCACAGGAGATTTGTAAAGTAGAATATATGGAGTTTTGTTTTGTAAAATAGGAGAAAGAGTCCTATTAATTAGAAAGGTAGCTGTAAGAATACAATCTCCCCAGAAAGAGACAGGAACTTGAGCCTGGAAAAATAGTGCCCTGGCTACATTAAGCAAATGCTGGTGTTTTCGTTCGACAACCGAGTTCTGCTCAGGTCTTTCAACACACGAGAATTGATGGATGACACCCTTTGAGCTAAAATATTCTTTGAATTGTAATTCGGGTGCATTATCTGATCTGAAGGGCTTAATAACCTTGTTAAACTGAGTTTGAACGAGACTGAAAAACTTGGGAATTATCTGGTGAACATCAGATTTGTGCTTCATTAAATACACCCAAGTAAACCTGGTAGAATCATCAACAAGAGTGAGAAAATATCGATATCCTTCACGTGTTGGAGATTTATATAGGCCCCAAGTATCACAATGGATGAGGTCAAACGCATTAGTAGACAAATGGTTATTCGATATAAACGATAACCTTCTTTGTTTGGCTAGGGGACAAATATAACATGGTACAAAACATTTATCATTCTTGAAATTGAGCTGATCTCTTAAATTGTCCAGTCTTTTAAAAGATAAATGGCCAAGGCGATTATGCCAAACAAGAGGAGATACATTATTCAATACAGAAAAAACAGGTTTACAATCATCATTAGATGCACTACATTTATCCTTCACTTCAACTGCATCAATGATATAAAGACCAGCAACCCTTTTAGCCTTGCCAATCATCCTCAAGTTGCACACATCCTGAATATCACAATGATCAGTGAGAAAATTGACACTGAAATTTGAAGTCCTTGTCATGCAACTGATTGATAACAAGTTAAATTTGAAATAAGGAACAAATAACACATCTTCAAGAATTAATTCAGGTGTTAGTCTAACAGTTCCAGCAAATTTAACTTCAATTCTGATATGATTAGGCAAAGTGATGTAAACATTCTGCACAGCTTCCAACGTTTGAAACAGACATGGCTGCTAGCACCTGAGTCAAGTATCCAGTTGTGTAGGGGAACTGATTTGAGTAATAGAAATGGAAAAACATGTACCTGATCCATGGCCAGATTTAACCCCCTCATTTTCAACTTTAGTATCTGAGAGGTGTGTACTCAACAAATTCATTAGATGTTGATACTGATCTGAATTTAAATTCTGCACAAAACTCCTAACATTGCCATTGTGCTTATCTGAAATAGAGCCAGAGATTTGATTAGAAATAGCTTTAGTAGATTGAATATTGTAACCTGTTTGATTGCTTCCACTAGCATCTATCGGATTAGCAGAATTAGGCCCTTGTCTTGATTTGAATCCAGGAGGATAACCATGTAGTTTATAGCATCTATCAACCACATGACCTACACCTCCACAATAGGTACAAATAGGTCTCTCCCTTCTCAGAAATCTACTATAACTTTGCCCCGAATTAACTCTTTTAACATCATTTCTAGCAAAAAATGCCAGAGAATCAGTAGCACCAGCTGAAACATTTATCGACCTCTGATGCTCCTCCTGGCTGATGAGTGAAAATACTTTGTTAATTGGTGGAATATGATCCATGAGTAACAACTGTCCTCTAACCTGGGCATATGAATCATTTAAACCCATTAGGAACGACATCACATATTCCATGTGATAATGATCAGCCAATTTCTTGTTTCCTCTACAATTACATTGACCACATGAACACGATGGGCGATAATTGCTTAGCTTTTAAATTTCTTCTCAATTGGAAAATTTGAGGACCATTCCTTTGCTGGAAACGTTCCCTGAGATCGAACCAGATCTCATGAGCAGACTCGGAGTAAATAATGCTAGCGGATATTTCCTTTGAAACTAAATTGAGTTTCCATGAGATAACAACATTATTGTTCCGAGTCCAAGACCTGAGTAGATCTTCGTTTTCTGTAGGCTTAACAACAGATCCATCAATGAAACAAAGTTTGTTTTTCACGGAAAGAGCTATTGTCATAGCGCGACTCCATGAAGAGTAATTCTCCCCAGTCAGTGGTTGCGAAACCAGAATTAAACTTGGACCATCTGAATGATGAAGATAGAAAGGACTTGAAACATCATCAATGGCGGATTGACTCATTGATGAAGATGAATTTTGATTTTGGATAGTAAAATTTGCCATGATTAATCAGAATTCAATGGCTAAGAAGAAGCGAATTCGCTCTGATACCATATTGAGGAAAAGAAGAATTGAAGATCTGAAAAATATCTGCTTATTATTCACGGAAATGAAGAGTATGTTACAGTATAAATAGAAAAGGAATTAATACAAATTTAGGCGGGAACTTCTCTTATGACAACTCAGCTTTTCCTAACAAACTTTGGCTCCTAAAGTGTTGCTTCCAGCAGCTTCCATTGACTCTGAAACCATGTAATATTCTGCAGAAGCATGATGAGTTGGATCGATAAAACCTTCTGATGGATGTTGACCTGAATGCGTTTGAAATTGTCTCAGCCTGAGTTAAAAAAGAAGGCTTGTTCTAATTTCAAACTCTCTTTATCCACACTTTCCTCTGGACCTCTACCTTACCCGGGGGTCTTAGCTTTATCAAAATAGGAGAATCACTCCTCAGCAAGTTTATCCTCTCATGGACACATTATTTGAATACAGTAACCTTCCAAATGTATCTTTCTGTTATTTAAACCTTGCTGATTATTTTTTATTCATCATGGTGTATAACCTAATGTTCTTTGAAAAATTCAACTTGTTTAGGCGACCATTTTGACCCACAGAGCCGAAGTAGCTTTGAGCGATGAGCAGCGGCGCCACTCAATCAAAATGTTGAAAAAGATGCATAGAGATCAAGATGAAAGAGAAAATCAAGATCAAGAGAAAAATGAAAATCCCTCTGGATTCAGCAGTGACATTAATCAAGATAAAGGGGACTTCGATGTGCCAGAGTCATGCACGAAAGTTGCTGCAGACTTTGTTTCTGCTGAAAATATACATGAGTGCCTTCGACTAACTGAAGAGTTCAGGCTACTACCGAAGAACCACAGGGCTAGAGAAGACGAGCTAGAGGTATGCTCGTTTCACATAATTACAAGAGCATGTTTAGCGAAGCAAAAAAAATAAAAAATTACAAGTTATTAAACATGCTTGAATACCTTACCTTTTAAGTAACAATACGCGAACTAAAGAACTTACAAGTAAACATTTTAAGCTTAGCAGTCAAACATCCTCTAAAGATGTGTGTAAAAGAGATTGATTTACAATCTATTAATCTGCTAATGACAGGTCAAGAAGATGATCCTTCACGCTGTCAACAATGCTGTCAGTGATTTTGAAAAGGTAACAGCTCTTGAAAACAATTTGCTCTGGAATGTGGAACACCAACAATGAGTCATTCTTGGTTGACATATACAATTTTACCCTGCAATTAACCATGTTTGATGTTGCTATCCTTTGGATTTTTTGGTAATTTTCTGCAGAGGGATGAGTTTTGTACTTGTTTTGCCTTTGGTTAATACAAATAATTGTAAGCATTGCTGTTACAGACCATTTTCTTAGATTGCTGCCTGAAGAAGGTTGTAAATCAGACTAGAATAACACCAGTTTCAAATTTTCAATTGTAACAAATTTCTTAATTTCTGAAAGTTTGGAGATTCAGTGACTCTTTGTAAAATAATGTCTAAGAGGAGGTTCATGGCTTCATGTGTTCCTATTCTTAAAGTTGGATACAACACATCAAGGTTGGTGGATCCAGGAATTAAGGATCCAGGGTTTATTAAGCCAACAAAAATCCATTAATTCGCCAACGCCGTAAAAACAATTCAATAATTTGTCCACGAGGCAAAAAGGAGTAGTGAGAGAATTTATTGGGAGAGACGCAGATTGGGCTTTGGAGCTTTTTCTTCTGCTACCTAACAAATTATAAAGCTTTTCGTTGAATATCCAATTACTTTTGTGACAATAAACTAAACCCAGCTCACACTTAGATCCGCCTCTAGGTTTAAGTCTTGATACAAAACCCAATGTTGAATATCAAATATAAACGATCGTTAGGAATGGCAACATGGTGGATATGGGATGGGGCGGTCATTTCCACCCTTATTCTGTTAGGTATTTTTGTTATCTTACCCCATCCCCATACCTGTTTAAAGTGGGACAGGGCAGGAAGGGATAGGTCCCCTGCTCCATTTATCGCCCCCATTTTTTTTTATTTTACTTTTTACTTTTATTTTTTTTATATTTAGTTAGTAAATTGATGCAGGAGGATTCAAGTCAAATGATGCCGAGTTGTCCGATAGCTCGTTGATGGCGCTAAGGTACCATAAGTTGGTGGTTCAAAGCAAAAATGGCAAGTAATCGATGATTTTTCCTAATTGAGGCATTTTTGGACACGTTTCTATATTTTGGCCATAACTTTGACTGCGGTTATCGGAATTACGATCATGGCACAAATTCAGAAAGCTCTTTTCGATGAGCACGTCGTGATCACCCAACTTCCCTCGGTGCACATTGATTTCGAGTGCAAAATCGGCTGTTTTTCATTCTGAATCCCCAATTTTAGTTAAATTTTGTTGGGTAATATTTCGTTTGCCCTTTTAACATAGATTATGAAATCGATTTGAGCTAGATTTTTGGGAAATTATTTCTTTTATTAAGTACTTTCTTTTGACATGACTATCTAGATTTTGCTATTTTTAGTAAAATTTCGCTAATTAATATTTTTTAGCTATTTAATCCAACTTGTGGATTATATTCACATGTTAGATGAATAATAAATAATTGTCTTGTTTTCTTGACATTTTCTCTTGTGTTCTTCCATGTTAATTATCTGTTGAAATCAGCCTGTCGAATAATCGCTGTTCTACTCGACGCCATAAATATTATTACTTTTTTACCAATTTGTTAAAAGTAACTTATTTAAGCTTGAAAATATGATAAATTTATTATTTTTTGTTTGATAAAAACCTTAAATTTGATGTTGAATTTATATGAGGCAGGTATCGGTCGGGGACTGTATTTATTATTTTGTGGGTTAGTAACAACTCCATTCAATTTGAATTCACATTCAACATAATGTTACTATTATAAGGGTTTATCATCCATATTAGATAAAAGAACATCAATGCTAGTCGACCAGGGTCAGTGATCGACCAAAATTCAGGGGGCTGAGGTGTATCTACCTCGACTCCTGATTTGAAAAAAAAGGACCCCACATGACTTTAAATCAAGGGCTGAGGTTCCTCCACCTCCTCCCTCTGAATTTGGGACTGGATCTAACCTTAGATGAGCAGCATTGCTCATAAAAGCAACATTAGCATTATTTGATTGCGACATATTTATATAGCCTCTGATTGGTGGGGATAAAATTCAGATTTTTAATAAATCTTGATAAAAGTTGATGAAATGTGTAGTTGAAAAATTGTGAAAAATGTGCGGTCGAAATAAAATTTGAATTTGAATTTCTTCCAAATATATCATAATCTAATGTGAAAATCACATTCCCTTAACCAGCAAAATGTCAACTTTTGCAAGGGAACTCTAACAAGAATTCATGGATTTGGATTTAATAATTGCAACGAAATTTATAAAGGAAGATTAGTATTCACGTCAATGTTTGACCTTAATTATTATTCTTCTTCTAATTTAAGGAGGAATTAGGTTGAAGACATGCACTTAATACGTTAAAGTCATTGATTAGTATGAACCCTAATTTATTAATTGTCCTTCGGATCAACGATTTGCAATCATTTTCTAATAAATCGCAGTTAAGGTACAAAAACTTTCTCTATTTTTTCGTTTTCAGTTGTTCTCTGTTTTCAGTACAAAACAATTCTTTGATTTTCGCTTTATGGGATCAAGAACAAGATAAGAAATAAGAAATAATCCCTAAATCTGATTATAAAAATTCCAGTCACTGTCATGGCGAAAAAGACAGAATTTTGAAAACCCACCCACGAATTGAAACGACATCGTGGCATCTTTTTGCCTTTTAGATGCGCCAAAACTGATCACAGTGAAAAAACCTCCGCCAGAAACTTTTTTTTTCAATTCAACGTTCCTGTATCTATTTTAATTGCGGCAATTTCACATAATTTTCTCAATGTAAATGTAATCTCTCTTTCTCTCTCTAAAATTTACCACTTATACAAGCAATGCGTATGATCATTTTTTTTGTTGAATTGCAGAAGAAAAGGAAGAGGAGGGAGGAGGATTGGTAAACAGTGTATAATTAATTTGTTATAAGAATTAATGATGAAGAAGGCACCGACATCGGTGTTTCCGGCGAAGCCGATGCACCACTTGCTGTGGTTGGTGTGGAAGATGGTGATTCTGCTGTCTATCGTTCTTTGTCTATGGGCTTTCTTCAGACTGCAGAAGTACTCGGAATCCTCGGTTTCTCCTTATTCAACCCTGCCTCGGAAATCTCGAGTTTTCCTTGATCACTTCGAAGGCAATCCCAGAATCGCGTTTCTATACCTCGCTCGGAGAGACTTGCCTCTCGATTTCCTTTGGGGAAGCTTTTTCGAGGTGAGTTCTATTTTTTTGTGGGAATTGAAAAATATATTTACTGAAAATTTTCATTTGTAGTTTCTTTATGTTCTAATACTTTAAATTATGGTTTTTGTTTTCTTTTTTGTTGTGTTTAATCAGTTTGAATTTTTCTCTGGGATAATTTTTTATATTTGTGACGCTCCTCGTTATTATTATTATTATTTTTAAATTCTGGTGGGAATTAAATTTGGATAGAACATCAAGATTGTTGTGAACAAGAATTTGCAGAGTTTTAACTTTTATTAGATTTCAGAATAAGGAATCCTAGTTAGGTTACTTTTTTTTTTTTTGAAATGTTTTTCCTGCTTGCAGAATGCAGACAAGGCAAAATTTTCAATATACATACATTCAGAGCCTGGTTTTGTGTTTGATGAATCAACTGCAAGATCTAGTTTCTTCTACAATCGACAGTTGGAAAATGGCATTAAGGTAACATCATCCATTTACCAATTGTTTGTTTGTCGAGTAGTGTATTTGGAAAAATAACAGAAATAGACGAACACTGTCTAGAAGTTGAGTGAATCCAAATTTATGCACCACTTTTCTCTTAAATTTCAATTTTAGATAAAATTGTTTCCTATTTCCTATTTGTTCAAGCTAAGCATGAGAGGATGTGCTAGAAGTAATTTCTCAAAATTTATTTTCAGTACTTGTCACAAAAGAAAATGCAAAATAGAGTCTAAAATAAGAGAGCGATTAGGGATGGCTAAAAACCCTAGACCTGCAAGGGCATGACTCGAACAGAGCAGAAGTTTCTCGTTCCCTCGGGTTGGTGGGGCGGGGACAGGTATTGGCTGCCCCGCCCGTTAGTATCATTTTTAAAAATTTATATTTTATAGACAAATATATATTACACGGGGTAGTAAATAGGGCAAATGAGTGTCCCACCCTGTCTTAAGCAGGGCACAGGGCGAAAAATTGCCTGAGGGGCAGCGCATGGAATAGCTGCACCCCCACCCACCCTTGTCATCCCTAGGAGAGATGTTCTTTTTATTGTTTTCTGGTTGACGTAGGTCTAAATGGGGTGAAGACCATTTCGCCCTCTCATGCACAATTTTTTTTACATTCATGGAAAATTTTGGGGCAAGCTTGTTTGACACAGTAGTATGTTACTTCTTCTGGTAAGCAAGGTGTTCTTTTCCTAATCAGTATGAAAGATTGGTAATAGGGATATTGGTGTAGGTAGTTTGGGGAGAAGCAAGTATGATTGAAGCAGAGAGGTTGTTACTTGATGCGGCTCTTGAGGATCCAGCAAATCAGAGATTTGTTCTCTTATCGGACAGGTTCGTTATCTTTACTGTAAGACAACTAAAAGTGGTTCTTCTATATATTAGAGTGTCTGAATTATAACTCTAGTTGGCTTCAACTTGTGAAAGAATTGACCTATGACCACCTGAAGGTTATTAGATGCATGAAGTATCATTAAGAAATAAGTGAAATTTGGGGTGGAGTTCACTGCTGAGGCAGTTGCTCTTGAAACAGTATTCGCTATGCTCTAACCTGAGTGACCACAGCGGTGCCTATGAAAACATAGAAGAAGTGAATGGTAGGAGATCTAGTTTGTTCACCTGCACCTGTTGAGGGATCTTACCATAGGGCAAGAATAGAGTGGCATTGCTAAATATCCAGAAACTTATTACAGGTGAAATTAATACAATCGATAATTATTGATAACTGGCACAAACTTGGTAATATGCATGAACCCAAGACAATTTTTATTTACTTTGATTTTCATCACAGATCCGAAATTTTTCTTTTGTATATTGCTCCATCCTAATCAAGGAGAAGCCACAGTCTAAGAAACCAAGGTATAATGTAATTATGTACACAGCGTCAACACCTCTACCAATAAGGAATCAAGTCAAGTAATCGGTTGAACGCGGTCTAGGTAGAAGTGTTCCTGTTCCTGCGCTTGTGACGGAAGTCTTTAAGACTTTCTTGATGCTAGGGAAGGGAGTAGCTATTGAATATAATCAAGTTCAGCAGTCCAGTCAGAAAGGGGAGCTTTTCCTTTGATCTTGGTTTGGTCATCTAACTTGCAAGCCCGTTGGGAACAGGTTTNTCATATTTTAACTCTTTTGCAGCTTTCACGTTCATATTTTTCCCCTATCATGTACATCTGTTCGTGCTATCATCATATTTTAACTCTTTTGCAGCTTTCACGTTCATATTTTTCTTACTTTTTATGTTTTACTTCTCCAGCTGCGTCCCGTTGTACAACTTCAACTATATTTACAATTATCTCATGGCTTCTCCAAAGAGTTTCGTGGACAGGTAGACACATGAATAGTTTTCTATGTGGCCTAGTTGGACTCTGTATATGATGGGAGAATTATAAATGGCCTAGTTCTTGATCATTTTTATATTAGTTGTCTTATATGGATCGCAAAATTAAACATGTGCCAAAGATTTATACACTTTGTTTGTGTTCTAGTTTTCTCGATAAAAAAGATGAGCGCTACAACGAAAAGATGTCACCAGTTATACCACAGGGCAAATGGCGGAAAGGATCGCAGGTAATTTTCCTTTACCTGTTTTAATTCCTCTTGTGCTAAAGGGAATTGAATTAAACTCACTGATGACTCGGTCCCAATACCATTTTGGAATAACGCTCCAATCTCTCTTTCTGTTTCCATACGTGTAGACACAATCACACAGGCGCACAAGCTCACCAACTCTTACACATGCACAACCACACTTGTGCCAGTTGGAAGATGAATTGTGTGTTGGTCAAAATGATCAACCACTTACACAAAAAATAGCAGCTATCAAAATGCACTTCCAGAGAAATTAGCGGCTGATTGTGGATGGGTTACTCGCTTTGCTATGAATACCTACAAACTTAAAGTCTTTTGTTTTGGCGGTTTTGGGTGGGTCCCAGTTATATCTGACAAATGCTGGATTTTATTTTTCTTCTTATTTTCTGTGCTATGCACAAATCTAACGAGTTGATTATTTCAGTGAATCACCTTAACCCCCCGTAGACACACTGAAGCTTCATGAGTTGGGTCGATAATATTCTGCACAAATGCCAGATTTTTTTTTTCTTATTTCCCATTTTATGCACAAATCTAATGAGTTGATTATTTCAGTGGATCACCTTAACCCGTAGACACGCTGAAGTCATTGTAGATGATGAAGTTGTCTTTCCCGTTTTCCAAAAGTTTTGCAAGGTAAATAATGGGCCACATGATGTTTTTCTCTGTTGGATATTCTACATATTAGAACGGCAGTTGCTGTTGTGTAACGCAGTTACCTTACCAACTATGATTTTAGATTATATTTTAACCATAGTCGGTTGTAAAATCTTCAGATGTTAAACACTTTTTTTTATTAATGTCACATCCACCTAATTATCTATGCTACAGAAGAAAGTTGACGTCATCCATGCCCTATCAGTAGTCTCCCCACCCACATAAAGAAGACAAATTATTAATGCTGTTCTTTGTTAACAAAAGAATTTAGCAACAATTGTGAACATAGGTCTGCTCTTATGGGATGTGATTTTAATATTATTTATTGATACTCTTATTCTATAGAACTCAAAGTTTTACTTCTTTGCAGAGACGACCGCCAGTGGATGTTCGTTACGGAAAGGAGAATCTTGTAAGTTACCTTTGCTCCCTGTTCTAAAACATAAATGAATGAAGACCACCTCTGGATTTCATAATTTTTGTCATGTTTATTTTCTTCGTCTCCGATTCAAAAATGTGCCCTTATTTTTATATTGGTCAACCATTCCCACTCCCGTCCTGTCGGGTATTTTTGTCATTTTGCCCCTTCCTCATACCCGGTTAAAGCGGGACGGGGAGCGGCGGGGGAGGTCCCTTGCTCCATTTATCGTCCCGTTTATTTTTTCTTTATTTTTTTTTGCTTTTTTTTTCTTTATTTAGTAAATATTATTAATTTTTTTCCAATTTGTTAAAAACAACTTATTTTCTCTTTGAAAATGACGATAAATATTTTATTTTTGTTTGATAAGAAGTTTAAATTTGAAATTAAGTTTAAACGGGCGGGTAGCGGGGCGGGGGTTATATTTCCCGTACCCGCCCCGTACCCCTTCGGGGCAATGACCCCCATCCATCCTGTCCCCACCCCATTTATCCGATTAGACGGGTAATTCCCGCTCCATTCGGGACGGGGGCTCGCGGGTATCGGGTTGGACGAATTTTTTTGTTATATATCTGATGTACTAATTATGTTTCCACTATTGGTTGCAGAAATTTCAGAAACAACACAATTGTATCCCGGATGAACATTATGTGCAGACCTTACTTGCAGTACGTAAATATTTACATATCTAACATAATTAACATATTTCTTTTTGTCTTGCCACTCTGTTTTTCTATGTTGGGTTGCTTTGTGATATCCCTACGTTATTACTTAGGAACTAAATATTACATGGCTTTCCATATTTAGTGCCTGTTTGGAAGGGATTTTCTCAAGATTTGAAGCAATTTTATAACCGTTGGGTAGCTCAAAAGTGGGGCACATTGTAGCTGTTAGCTTTGTTCCACTAAATTATCACAATTTCCAAATATGCCCTTTAAGAATATTCAAATATGATGATTGGAAGAAATTTGTACAAAGTAATTCAAAGTAATAAAAAGGGTACTATAGACTTTTACCATTTTTTAGGTGATAGTTTCTACTGATGGCTTAAATGCCTGGCAGCAATGGAAAGGCAGACAACGGTCATATTTGGGCTAAAAATCTTGGGTAAATCCCTCCTAGACAGGTTCTTAATGGTTTGCTATAAGTTCTAGTCATGTCTTGAATTGTTTGGCAATTATACTTTCTTTTTTCTTCTGGATAGATGAATAATCTTGAAGCTCAACTTGAACGAAGAACAGTGACATACACTTTATGGAACCTATCTGCAACAAAAATGGAAAATAAAGGTTGGCATCCTATTACATTTAGCTATGCAGATGCTGGGCCTCAACAGATAAAGAGGATAAAGGTTGGCAGATTGCATCTCTCTCTTGTTAGTGGACAATAATGTCTGATTGTCTGCATTGGAGATAGACCATAACCATGACAATACGATCATGTTGCTATTAGAGATGTTTGCCATAGCTTAAGATGTCTGTTTAATGTTTTTAAATAATAGTTTTTTATTGGTCAAAGTTGAAAATAAGTTGTTCATTTTGACAATAAGATAAGAGTTGCTTTCAAAGTGACATTTTTTTTACTCGAATGTTAGGAAAAAGTAACATATCCAAACATATTTGGAAAACAATGAAACTCCTTACCCCCTTTATAAGCGTTGCTAAACATGACTAAGAGAATTTTTTCTATCCTGGAATGAAATTTGTCCACAGGCACTCTTTATTTCAGACATATTTTTGCTGGGCATATGATTTTAGCTACATTCTAATCTCTTCTTTTATTTCTTTTCAGTTTTCCAATTGGGTTTGCACTCACCGTCTCCAATATTTTACAGGATATCAACCATGTATACTATGAAACCGAGTACAGAACTGAGTGGTGCCGCAATAATTCTACATCCGTTCCTTGTTTTCTGTTTGCGAGGAAATTTTCTCAAGGAGCTGCCATGCGTCTTTTAAGTCAAGGAGTGGTTGGTAAGTTCGATGTCACTGCAATACTGAATTCTCCACCGTGATTTTGCCAGTGCATGAGCCATCAAATGTTGGGTATTCTTTCGACTGTTGTCAACTTACATCAGAAAATTCTGTCGGTCAGCTGCTTGAATGTCCATGAATGTTTAACATCAATGCCGAGAAATTTTTTAGACTATGCAACGTAGAGAAGATAATGCAAACATAGATTAGGGGAAATAGTTTGAAGAAGATATATATGATGCTCGAGCTACGCTCACCCGAAGATTGAAGCATGTAGAGGACTTGTTAGAAATAGATATATGTTGTATGAGATATATGTTATTATTTCTTGACTGGAGGGTATACACCAAAAGAAATCCTTGGATGTATAGTTGGAGCTGGAGTTTGTTACCATTCCTTTATGCTTCATCAGGTGGAACACTTGCCACCTACAGCATCCACCATAATTAGCAGGATTATAAGAATCCCTTGCAGTAGATGTCTTTTAATCTTTGTATATACAACCAGAAAAAGGCAAGTGATCCAGTTGAATACTGCAAAACTTGGATCTCCTCTTTAAGAAAAGAGATTTCTGATAACTCTGCTGCATAGGTGCCAAATTGCCATTAAACATATGATTCTAGCTCCCTATTATCCTTGTTCTGGAATTTGATGCCTCTCTTCTTGTGTTCCATTCTTTACATAACAACTGGATCTCATTAATCTTTAGATCACATCAGAATCAAACACAAAATCTTCTTGTTCTGAAGTTAATACTAGTTGCCTAATTTCGTACATCAGATTTCTCAAAACTGAGGGTGAGAAAAATGTCGTTATTGTGCCATGCATTTCAATAAAACTCCAACCTGGAGTTCTCCTCAGGCCAAAAGATCTCATTTTGAGCCAAGTTTCTTCCACCCCATCCCATCTGGCCATTGAAACAAAGCTGTGAGCCAGTTGCACATACTTAACATCATCTTCCGGCTTTAAACCAGAAATTTCCTTGGCAATAATTTCTCCAAGCTCTGGCTTACCATTTTTTCGACAGGCATCAAGTTGGAGAACATCCTCTTGTAGTTGTCAAATGCATCTTCAACCCTTCCAGCCCAGCAAAGGAGATCAACAATGCATGCGCAGTGTTCAAGCTTTGGTTCAACCTTATACTCATTTTTCATTGACTCAAAAACGTTCATACCGCGCTCAACAAGCCCATTGTGACTACAGTCGTAGAGAACAGATAAGAACATGACATCATTTGGTTCAAGTACATTCTGTACGAATTCTGAAACATCTCCAAAGCCATCTCATTTCATTAAAGAGATACAGAGCCTTATTTAAATTTCCATTATATAACCAGAAACTATTGCATTCCTAGTGACATCTCTTTCCTTCATCTTGCTCAAAAACAGTATAACTCTGCTCTAAACAGCCACATTTTCCACGCATACTAAAAAGAGAATTATATGTAGGAGTATCTGCTGCCATTCTCTGCCTTAACATGTGGCAATGTAGTAAAGTCCCAAGTCTGATAGAACCCAATTGTCCACAGACTGCAAGAACACAAGCCATAGCTGCAGTTGATGGCATCACCTACGAAACCATCATCCTTCGAAACACTGCCAATGCCTTGTCTGCATAATCATTCTGTCAAGTCCTGAGATCATTGCTGTCCACGAAACCGCATCCTTATCACCTGCCCTCTTGGAAACCTGTAAAGAATTATTCATATTCCCACATCTTGAGTACATAACCAGAAGCGACGTCTCAACATGTATAACTAATTGAAATCCAGACGTTACTATGTGTCCATGCAAAATCCTTCGCACTTCAACACTGCCCTCTCCCTCTCTCACAACTTCAGAGATCAATTATCCAAAAGTCAGCTGATCAGGCACTAGATTTTCATTCTTCATTCTGTGCAATAGCTCTAAGACTTTGCTAACGTTCCTTACCATATAATAGGCATTAATCAAGCCATTCCAAGAAACAATGTCTTTGTCATTAACTGACTCAAATTGTTTCCTGGCATCTCCTACTCTTTCACGTTTAGCATACATACTCAGCATACAATTCATTAAGATTATATCTCAGTGAAAACTAGTTTTAATCACGCGTCAGTGCAAAATATCCGCATGGGCATTGCCAGAAACCGCAGAGAGCATAGTCAAAATCATCCCTTCACGCTGCATAGAATTACGCGAGCGAGTACAATTTGGAAGTGTTTTTCAGTTCTCTAAAGTTTTGTCGGGGTATGGCCTTTGGCTAACATCATTAAACTTTCACGATCAAATTCCATCGTTCAAGGGTCCGTTTTAGCGTTTTTCTATTTTGAGTTAGTTTAAGGTATTTTCATCGTTTTTGCAATTTCTTAGTTCTATTCGGATTTATCTACCGAATTAGGGCTTCGTTTTGATGCTTTAAATATGTGCCAAGGGTTTGAAAATACCACGGTTGTTTTTCAATAATAATATATTAGCTTTCCGTTATCTAATGGATTCCTGTATTTTTCACGTCCGTTCGAACGAAAGTCGAGCAACACCCGTTTGGGTATTACAAACAAGACCCTTTTATTATTATTTACGTTTCTATTTTGCGTCAGAAACTAACATATATAAAGAAACTACCAAACATAATGCACCACCTTTAACCACCAGCAATTAGAGAGGCCAAAGTACACAGCAAATCAAAACCATCAGACCAGAGTTCACATTGTCTGCATGAGATCACCAGAACCAGTTTAAGGCAACTTCGCCATTCACAACTCAATACGTCATTCCACATCCAACAGACAGTATGCACAATATACGCACAATAAGTACCTGATACTTTTGTGAACATAACAAAATCCAAACACAGTAAGCACATGAAAATTCTGAGCAAAAAATGCAAAATTCCAATTCCAGGAAAGCAAACCAAAAAACGAGTGCAACATTTGAATTGCAAGTATATACTAACCGGATAATCAAAATACTAAACCATTCATTTTTTAATCCAGCCTATAATGCTGGAATCAACCTTCAAAAATGAACTTTCCTAATCGGTTTAGACTTCCAATCAAGGTCAACTTTGAAAGTCTCTAATTACCTTTCATCTATATACTTGGCACTACAGTGCCTAGTTGTATTGTTTGTCCCAGGTGCAAGTGTGCTCTAAAGTCTTAGACTTTATTGCACGCAACCCTTCTCCTTATTCCATGAAACACAAATCCTCCATTTATTGTCTAATTTGCACTCTGTCTGTGCTCTCTAATCATCATTTGGTCTAAACCTAAATTTTCACCTAGTTGTAACCTCATCATTCAGAACGACTTGCCTAGATTCCTCAATGTCCTTAGTCTTTCCCACCTCTAACTGTGGAACTTCTCCTTTTTAACATCATAAGTAGGAGAGCGATAATTTTTTTCTTCACTGGAAAAATAATGTATGTAGCTCCTTTTCACTTAGACTAGTGTGTCTGCATTCATTCCCACCACACGCTCTGGTGCAGATTGAAATTAAACAAACAAAATGTACAGAGTTCATCGTAGCCATCGTAACCGATAAAAAATTACCTCCATGTGGTCCCTATTCCTCTCTGACCAACCGTGCTTCTTCAATAATGAGATTATCTTCCATATCTGGGGGTGGGTGAACTTTATCGTCAAAATAATGGCACGATTAGGTTTTCTCAAAGGTTTCAATTGAATTGTCATCAAGGTGCCTATTTTACCCGGTTGGCAAGATTTCGCGTCGTCAAGGTGCCATTTCTGATTTCCGTCGAACACGTGGTAATTTCCATCAAGTGGAAATAACATATTTCACTCCAATGATGGTGGGTAAAAATTTGAATAGATGAGTGAGCAATGGGTAATCTTTGTCTATTAATGCCATATAATGTTTTCTTATGATCAGCAGTCCACATAGATAAACTTGTTCTATAACAAACACAAGGCTACTTTAAGAATCTAATTAAGTCAAAATAGAATAATGATTTTTTAAACAAAAAATTGAAACTTACATTAATCAGATTCAGCATGGATACCATCCAAGAGGGCATACCCCTTCTTATCAGTCAAATCAAGAGCATGGTGGAGTTTTATTGACAGCAATATTTTAGAATGAAAAATCTCCAGAAACAGGGGAAGGATAAATGGTAAAAGAGATGCATTTGAGAACAATTCTCAAGAATTTTGTCAGCTGCTTAAAATAACCAGATGTAGATGAATCTAATTAATCCGCCTTTTGACTTCAAGAGCCAGGGCAGTCAAAGCCAGAGCCCCCACTGTAACACCATAAAACCATCTCAATTTGTTGAGTGCTGCAGGATTCTGATTGTTCATCCCTTCAAATATATTTGCTATAATAATAACAATCAGGGCATGCCCTATGATATGATGATATATCACCCAGTATTTGCGGCATTCATGTCCTTCGTTTGGCTGCAAACACAAGGCTAACAACTGATTAAATATAAGCTAAGGGTTTTGTTTCTTACAACAGGTAAAATTCACTGAACTTGTAGCGAGATCTCATTGGGAATTAGTCACGTGTACACGTATAGTGACCTAAATGAGATTTCTCTACAAGTTCAGCGACCAACAGTGAATTTTGTAGAACATCTATGGCTTGGCGTGGCAGAAAGAAAATTTTGTTCTTACTTGCAATGCGGCGAATGCAAATATTACGGTACCAAGAATTCCATGTGTACTCATACTGGTTTCCTTAGCTGCATTTTTTAAGGCCAAACCAAGTCCCCATCCAACTGTGCCCAGAAGAAAGCCTGATAATTGAGACACAACATGAAGAGAATACCAGTCATTTCCCTTAAATGGCAGTTTCTTGAAGTACCTTGCGATTATCACTCCGATGGGCAAAAGAATTCCCCATCCTATTATGTTTACGGTTCCATGAGCCTGTCATAAGGTCATAGCAGATAATTTGACTTATAATAAAATGTAAGACTCTATACTGAAACTGCAATCACATAGAAGCAACAACAAGAAGTAATGATCAAGTTCTTACAGTTCTTAAATGTAGATGGTGATGAGATAAGTGTCCAGCCCTCCAAGGCCTAACTAGGTCAGTTGTCCCTCCGTTATTCGGGCTCTCAAGCGCAATGGAATGCTTTTCCTGCCGCTTTTGAGAGTGAATTTCCTGATGAAGGGACTTTTTAGTCGAATTAGTGAGAATGAACTCTTCATCGAGTGAAGGGGTTTGGGCTGCAAGAAAAGGTGAGTACCAGATTATACATAACGCTATGACACAAGGGGAAATCATAGATACTAGTCTCATACTAGTCTTTATCCTGGTACTCTATTTGCTTTTTGAAATCTGTGAGCAAAACTATCAGATTCCAAATAGTTGCATAAAGTAAAGTGCACAGCTCAAAATTTTCATTTGCACTGCAACATTTGGTATATTTAAGTACCTTTGGCTTAATAAGAATATATCCCTTGCCACTGTAACATTTGGTATATTTAATTACCATTGGCTTAATAAGAATATATCCCTTGCTTATTAGACCAGGGAAGCATTTTTCAACTACTCTTTTAATTAGTATGTAACAAAATCAAATTCTATTCCAATCTTCAGCATCTTTTTTCTTTTTCTTCTGTTCCAAAATTCAGTTCCAACTATCTCATAGAAATCCCTCCTTTTCCTGTACCCTTTGTTGGCTTCTTCAAATAGAAATAATAGCATTACCACATTCGAGAAGTCTTTTTTCGCTCATGTTTCATCAACATTGTTGCATAATGCTTCAGTAAGGCATTAAAATAATGCGCAAAATGTTGGACTATGTAGAGTCTAATTATACTGTGCACTTATCATCGACCGTAAATTGACCAGGACTATACTAGATATTCCATACATGTATTGGATCGCTTTAATATTTCTACGATATAAACTATTTTAGGGGTTCTATATTGAATGCGAGGTGAGTGAAAAACCTGCAATGACTAGTGGGCAGCTGTACACAACTCTCACCTTGAGGGCAAGCCACTTGCACGTCTTCTTTGTTAGTCATGTAATTTCGCAGTATTTATTATTGCTCCCAAAAGAAGTAAGAAGGAATTAGGACTTAATTCGATATACAAATTTCCATGGTTTGTTCCCAAGTATACAAATTCTTTTGTTGTTTCCTTCACAATGGAGGTACAGATCCTCTGGTAATTAGCAACTTTTTTCATCGGCAATCAACTGTTTCCTTCCCCACAAGAAGATCTTACAGTAAACTTGAAGCAGTCACTTGAATCAAGACCACCCAGAAAAAGCAAGACTTGTAAATTCTGCACTTGTAAATGCATTCTTATTCATCATCAAATCCATTAAGATTAATAAACACAAGAAGCCAAGAAATCTTTGCAGGTCTTCTTCGTGTTGGCAATATTGGTAATGGCCTTAGCCTTTACTCTTTCAGTAGCATCGGCAGAAGATAAATCATCCTCATCCTGACGAACGCAACAATGAAAACACGAAAAACGTAGTATTCTCATCACTTCGAGGGTTATAGCCATTTTCTTGCTCAAAAATTACGCGTCACGATGACTCACATGCAACAACTATCCTAGAATTTGTCTAAGTAAGGGCAGTCCTGGAACAGATTGAAAAATGTGTTAATGTCGCAAAAGATACTGAAATGTGGCAAATGTGGGAACAAGTGAAAATTCTCAGGAATTTGTTGCAAAGGACAGTGTATGAATCCTTCACTCAACAAAAAGCACAGTGAAGGTTGCAACAATAGGTGCAAGAAAGGAAGTACATTAATTAGCAGTAAAATCGGATTTTTAGTATATTTTGATAAAAGTTGATAAAAATGTGCGACCGAAAAGTTGTTGTAATTCTAAAACCTTGGAAATTAAAATTTCGTTTTAATTATTTAGTTTAAACGACAGACAGCGGGTAGTCGGAATATCATATAACTAGTTCTTTAGCAGTTCTAACTGCAACGTNAACTAGTTCTTTAGCAGTTCTAACTGCAACGTGCTGATTGTACATGCGCTTTAAGATTTTAATTAATTGTGCAAAAATAACTAACATATTAAAATTAAATATTAGATGTAACGTGGTAAACCCCCGAATGGAAATGTCCACGGGCCCCATGCTACTCATCAGTAATCCACCAAATTAAATGATAAAAAATATAATAGTCACAGTTTTGTAATTTCACAAAATTAACAAAAAAACAATAAAAAAAAAAAAATCTAAGAACAATTCAATCGTTTTTTTTCCTTCTTTTGACTTGTTGTAAAAGTGGAATGAAACCCTCCGATTTTGACTTTATTGCCATTTCACTATTGTACTCAGCCACAACCAATACTTAGGATCTGTTTGATTGTGAATGTGGAAAATTGGTGGAAAGAAAATGAATTCTAGGGGATTGAATTGCCTAGAAATTGTTTTACTGGAAATTGTAATTAATTGTGTTTGATTGATATAATTTTTCACCTGAAAAATGTTGAAAGTTTGGTATTCGTTTGACTTTGTTTTTCATGGAAATTGTCCATTAAACTGATAATTTCTTTTACCATTG